CAGCACAACAGTAAAACTTTTAAGTCTGGCAGTTTTTTTTCTAGGTAACAACAGATCAAGACAAAGGAAAAGGCAAACAAAAACGGCTTTAAGCACAGGTATACTCTCATATTGGTTTTAAAAATAGCAGTACACAGAAGGAATCCAGGAGATGGACTAAAAGTTTGGCAAACTTTTAAAGTGTGATTCATAGGGAGTAGTCTGTAGTTTCATCCCTGTTATCTTTTGCTCAAATTTAGAGAAAGGATGAGATGACAAACAACAAATGTATAAAGGCAAAACTGCTACTGTAAAGTAACTTACACACTCTTCCTAAAAGACAGATATTTTGAATTTGTTTGCAAAATTATGCGTAAAATACAGCACTAACAGTGATGGCTCTCTTCTGTCTTTAAAATACAGAGGCTCAAAGACTCCAATCACTTAAAATTATTGCACATAAAATGGGGCTAATACAGACACTCATGAGTAAATCAAATCATGAAAAATTATATTAAAATTGCAAAAGCTTTCTTTGACATTCAATTTCTAATTTCAACTTTTAAAACAATAAAAACATTAAGTCAAAGCAGAAACACCCAGACTAAAATAATTATTTCAATCATGATAGGTCTTTTAGATGGTTTACATAATTGTTCTTTATTTCATTTTATATGCAAAAGACATCTAAAATGCTGAAGGAAAATGGAATTGTAATATCAAGCTAAATTCCATTTTTATTTTTCAAGTCTCTACTGAAATGCTACTCCACTGACTTATCAAGACCATGGGGTGATCTTGGATTCTTGAAGGTTATATATGTATCAAAACACAAATTCTGCATCTAAACACTAGGCTGAAAAGGCTTCAAGGAAACACTTACGGTCATGCAGTACAGCTACCACTTGAAATCCAGTCAGATTGGTCCTATCACTAGAAGGTTGCCCACCAAGTGTGTGTTTCCTTTTTGGGGGGGGGGGGGTATGGGGGGGGGGGTAGGGGAGGGCAACAATGCCAACTCATCTTCTAAGGCATAGGTCTTAACACTTATTACCTGCATCATGGGAGGGAGTACACACACTTATGAAATCATGGATTTTTAAAAATACTTCATAAATGTTCTCCAAGTACCATTTATAAGAAAAATAAAGACCTATAAGACTATTTCCATTTATTTAAATGTAATGTGACCCTAAACTGCTATATCAAATAAAAACATTATTTGAGTCTATTTAATTTTTCCACTGGAATTTGTTAGTCATGTATTTGACACTTGTGCTAAATGGAGCCAAATTCTTTTAAAAAAAAAAAAAAAGGCAAAACTTTTTGCGTGTGTGTGTGTCACTGACATGCTTTTTGGACCTGACATTTCATTGCTATAGGGGATTCTGAATGAGGAAATTCCCTTTTAATGAAAATAGACTAAGGATACCTCTACAATTTATAGTCTTAGAGCGCTGCACTGACTGACAGAAAAAGCCCAAATTTCTTCAAACAACAAAATCTTCATCTCTTAGTAATCCATAAAATGGAAAAAGTTATCAACACCCAACACTTATACTGACTTTCACAATGGAGCTATCAGGTCATTCTACTCTTCTCCAACAAGTTGCTATTAGGGGAAAATAACCAGAGGGATTTTTTGATTTGTATTTTGTTCTGTTTTGTTTTTATTTTTTAAACCGGACTAGTGAATTATTTTAATATCCTAAGAAAACAAGAACTTGTATTTCAGCCTAACCTATAATAGTCAGAGTTGCATTTTAAATGTACTGCTATTTTTGAAATCTGCATCGACACTTTATCTAAAAGCCAAGAGACCTCCAAAAGTGATATAGTATTCTTTTAAAATAAAGTACATAAACTTGAAAAAATTAACACTATAGAACAGCAAAAATGAAGAAAAAAAAGGTTTAGAAGATAGAGAATAAATGCATGCCAAAATTAAAAAAGCACACAGATCTTGATTTTCCACCACCCAATTTTTTTTCTTTTACAAAACCTGTGTCAACACATAGACTGTAGACCTCTATAATTCAAACAACAAGCCCAAATGGATAATACTTGGGCTAATTTTAGACAAAAATTGAATTTTTCCAAACAACCTATTTTTATACAAGAATATGTCTTTTCCAAATCTTAATTTAGATTTTCTTTGTCAATAAATTAAAATGTTATGTGCATATGTATATACAATATCAGAATAGTGTATGTATGAATATATACGTATATACATACATACACATATATACACAAAGTCCCTGATAAGGATTCAAATGTTCTTTCAGATTTAAAGATCTGCTTCATAATTACATTCAACTCCATTATGATCTGCCTTCTATCAGTGTTCCTTTGCCGCACTTAGCTTGACTATCTTATGAGAATAAGTTTCTTAAGTCATATGATATTTTCTAACCAAAAGAGGAATACAAAATACTCCGAATATATGTCATAGAATAATGTAGCTCTTTTAGTATCCTAAGTACTGTGTGGATAAACACACACACACACACACACACACACACACACACAAATTCTAGTTTATTACCTAAAAAATTAATGTCTCTTCTACCATTTAATAGGTGACACACAAAATAATTCATAACTGCCTATTCAACCAATGCTAAAATGGTCCACCTCATGATAACTTCATGTTCCTTCCTATTCTAACATTATCATTATCAATGACTAAGTAAATTGTTTCTCCTTGACTATCATAATTCTTTCAATCTCTGAATTTTATTAGAAAGATTACTACAAGAAATTTGATCTAGTTTTTCTCACAAGATCATCACTGTATTAAATTAATGGCTGGTGGCAAGGAAACATGTTGAAATTGAATAACTGAGATGAATCACAAGTACTGAGTCTTAATATAATCTATTAAAATCTGAAATAAGTAAAAAGGGTTGACAAAAATGACTTCTTAAAAAATGAAAAATGCTTTTAAAAATCTGATCAAGCATCAAAGTAATAGTTAAGCAAAAGTTGCTTAATTTAAAAAAAAGTCACATTATACAATTACTGAAGCAACATTAAAATACACTCTTACATTCAACAAAATAAAGAGAAGATACTCTCCCCCCCTTCCAAATCCAATCTTCCCTTACTCTTCAAATACGTGGGCATTTAATAATGAAGCTATATTAGCAAAGAAAAGCAAGTTCTCTCTTTAGTACTGAGAAAAAAAATAAACAAGGAATCCTGAGACAAATTCTGATGGGTATACACAAAATCAACAAATTGGGACCATGCTTTACAGTAAAAAATTATCAGGTTAAGTGGCATTGATTGCTAACAGGTAAAATTTGAAGAGGCCTACAGGGTATGCACTGAGTTATTACCAATCCCACAAACCCCACCACCCCACCCCATTTCTGCACCAAAGCACCAAAAATTTGAATTCAGACTACTACTTATTGAAAACCATTTTTAAAATCACAATGAAAACATTTTAAATCCTAAAGATCAAAAAGAAAAAAAAAATCTCTCTTACCAAGCCCACAATACAGTTTTCAAGATACTTTAGATAAAACTCTAAGCTATTGTATCATTATAAGCACATAATAAGGCACGTAATAAGAAATTAAGTAAATACACAGTAATTTTGATTTAAGTATTAGATTATAGTGGTACAAAAAACCCTTGAGGTTTAAACTTTTTTTTTAAAAGAAGACCTTACCAAAAATAACTTTTAAAAAATCTGTCAAACCATATGATAGACCTGAATATTTTCCTTAAGACTGTAAACTTTTTTATTATCTGAAAACAAATGTAAAAAAGTAGTTTTTAATTAGGATTATTTTTCCTTTTAATTTTTCTAGAATCATACTACACATCATTTCATGGGAAAAATGTCATTGTGAATTCAGATAAAACATGATTTTTATGCAATAAAAGCATTAATTAATCCTATAAACAGGTCCTGGTTCTATTTCAATCCAACTTGATTTGGGGAGAGAGTCAGGCACTGCCTTTCTCCAAAAATCTTACTTCCATAATAAAATTAAGAACATAAGAATGATTCAGAAGAGTCCAATGAATGAGGGAAAAGATTAATTGTTTTTCATTAGGAATTTATACTTATAAATTTACGTTTGAGATATCAGAGTCCTTCAATTTGCCTTTGAATTCATTATCATGTGTCACAAAGTAGTGACCAAGAATTCATGAACTAATATTTCTCTGCACAGGAGTCATACTTTCTAGTCAGAGACAAATATATGAATTTTTGCTTACACAAAGTGATTTTAAAGTACTTATGTTTAAATAATTCAAACCATGAAGGAAATTTAGAAATGTTGTGTAAGCTTGATTTGGACCAAAAATAGGCTGTCCCCTGAAAGAGAATTTAACAGGGCATCTGATTGAAAAAAATACTCCTTTTTTTAAAAAATAGGATATTTCCACAGAAACTCTGATATGGAGAAATAATAATAAACTTTTTACCACATACTGACAGAAAATAATGGAAAAAAAGGTAATCCCTTGATTCTTTACTGTGTATGAACACACTCAAACATCAAACTCAGCGAGAGTTTAATTCAATATTTTGTAAAAGAGGCAGAATTCATCTTAAGCTGCTTCAGTCTCTGTCTGAAGGTTTTATTCAAATTGTGGTCCAGTCTTAAAAGGAAAGTTCACAGAAAAGTCAAATTGTTGACTTTGAGAAGGAGACTCTGAGGTGGTGGTTTTCTCCAAGATCATGATTATGCAGCTCAATAAGTGCCTGAATTGCTTCCTCCACAGATCCCAACTGGATGAGTGCCATTTTGCGATCTTTCCTGGGAAAGAGAACACATATGTTTAAGCAACTGTAAATCCCATCCACTATAAATATAATTTGAATATTCTATTCAAAACTATCTCATACACACACACACACCCACACACACCCCCACACACACACACACACAGAGGTTTGAGCCAAATTATGGCTCTCTCTCTCTCTCGCTCTCTCTCACACACACAATCTAAAAGGACATAAATTTATTGCTAATAAGTTTCTAACAGGGAAGAACTTACTGGAAGAATTTGAAGGCTTTAACTGTACATCCGGCATCTGTAAATAGATTCTTCAGGTCATCAACCATAACTGAAGGTCTAAGAAAACAGAAAAAAAATCATAATTGCTTCATTCTTGACTACCACAAATTAAGTTGTATTAACTTGTATTGTAGTTTAAACAACATAATTACTTTAATACGAATGTAAATGTCATGATTGCTGAATATTAAGATTTAAATCATATCAAAGAATCCTAAAACATATACACAATAACCTTACAAAGTATTTTCCATAGGTAATCTTATTTCATATTAACAATAACCAAGGATAGTTTGATCTTAGAGGAATCACTGCCTCCTATCTTATAGATGATTTAGGTTCAAGGTCTTCTTTCCAACTGCTGGTGTTTATTTGCCTCTGCTGATCTCACTACTAAACACTGTTAACTGCATCCTGACCTCAGGCTTCTGCCAACATAGTCTCTAGCTTTGTCACTGATCATTCAGCTTGACTCTCAGTTTCCTCCCCCCTGACAAACCCACTCCCTCTTCCTTCTTGAAATTCTCTCTTCTCTAAAATTTTACTGACTGCTCGTTTTCTGTCTTCTCCTCACCCCTTAAATGTGCAAATACCTGAAAGTTTAATTTTTCTCCCTCTAAGCTTCTTTTCCTAAGCTCAGCTATAGGGACCACATCTACTCATACAGAGCTTTAACTATCAACACTATTACTTCCAAAGCTATCTCTGGCTATCATTCTTTTTCTATGTTTCCTCTCCAGCTGCCTTCTATTTCAAATTTAATGTCTTACCACTAATTCCACACTCACAGCTTACTTTTAAAAAAATTAATCTGCTCCCCAAAATGTTTGTCCCTTTCTGACTTTCATATCTCTGCTACTAGTACTATTCACTGTCTTCCAAGCTCAAAACCTCAGAATTACAAATTACTTTTCTCCCTACTTCATTCTGTAAAAATAATCACTAAGTCCTAATGATCAAGTCTTCATCATCTCTTACAGATGTTTCCTCTTCATTCCTACTTCCCAATGCCCTATTGCAAGTGATGGCATCTTGGATATGAATGAATGAAGTAGCTTTCCTGAAGGACAATGGCCTTCCTGTCTGTCTCTAGTCTTCTACTCTAAACCTTCTTGCATAGCAGTGTCTGAACAATTTTGCTAAAACAAAGTTGTAAAAATAAATCATACCTTTCACTGATATTTTTATACCATCACTCTCCTAATCATTAACACAGAATGGCTCCCAATTGCCTACTGTATCAAATGCAGACTCATCTTGATGTTCAGGCCTTTCTACAACATGGTCTCTTCTTACTTGTCCAACCATATCTCCCAGTAACTGATCAACATAAATATGCCCTGCACTAATCATGACAATCTCTTGACCGTCCCCTTAAAAGATCATGTTCGTTCTTACCCTTATACATTTGCTCAACTTGGATTCTATTTTAGCCTATCCACATCTTGTCAAAATCCTATCCATCCTTCAAAATCCAGGTGAAAATTCTAGTCCTCCTCCTTCACAGATTTTTTTTTTAATCAACACTAGGCTACATTTTATACACATTAATTTTGCTTCCCTGATCAATTTTTTTGAAAGTAGCAACTAAGTCAAAAACTTACTGACTACTGACACAGGACAAGGCACTTGGCAGATGCTTAAGAGTCCTGAATCATAGCTTTAATTAATAACACTAAATTCAGCAAAATGCTTTATGTGGCATCTCATTTGATCCTTACAACAATCTATAAGCTAAGTATTATTACTGTCTTCATTTACAGATGAGGAAACAAGATGATGTGACTTGCCCAGGGTCACAACACTTCAGCAACTACTAAAATAAGATGTAATTCTATTAAAAGGCAAGCATACTTAAATTTTTTTTTAAAGATAAAAATAACTATCTTCTTTTGTGAGGAAAAAATACAATCACTATAAGTTATAAAGAAATGGAATATTTTATTCATTCATCAAAATTTTATTAAGTATCTACTATGTATATTGCACTCTGCTGAGTGCTAGGAGACAGAAGAAATTTCAGCTAAATGACTGGCTTTTCAAGTGCAGGGTAAGAGAAATTTCAAGGTCAATTTGGCTCAAACTTGAAAATTTTAAATTTCCTAAATTCACTAACCTATCTCCAGCTGAAAGGGTATGTATCACATTATTTTAAAATCAAATACACTTGAATAAGATGGAAGGAGAATGATTTTGGAATGTGTTTTGAAAAAAAGAGCCTAAAAAAGGTTTTGGGTTTCAAATTATTCAAGAACAAATGAGTGGAATATAAGAAAAGGACAATTGAAAGCAAACACTGGTCTACCTTACCTATACAGTGGTAACATATCAAAGTTTCTATGCTAATCAAGCTAGTTGATGACAAAGAGGTAACTAAATTCTGACAATATATTATAGATTTGGGGGGATGGGGAGAGATGGTTATTTGCTCAGAACGATAGATATGTACCACCAGAAAAATATGGCTAAAACAAAAAAATTTATGCTTTTTTTGAGCCAAGAGATTAACTATCTCAGGATCCTACAATGCCCCAATCATTTTGCAAATAAATTAAACAAAAGGATTTGAACACTTAAAAAAAAAAATCAAACCTCACAACCTATTTTGTTTATTATGAAACAATATTTTCAAGATACCATTTAATATGCTATAAGAAATTCAAGACTGAGATAAGTGATCTCCCAGAAGCAATTTCAGGGTTTATCAACTCTTCAACTACATTTAAAACTGGCACTTCATAAATAAACCAAGTAAACAAGCAATTAGCTACATACGGGATGTTAGAAAGATGCAGGGTGGCAGATGGTGGATAGATATTCTGGAAGTTCTTAGAACCAGGCTTCTTAAAACGATGTAGAGGACTATTGCTAAAATCTTTAGTCAAACCTTGGTCTTCTTGGCCCTCACGAGGAAGCTGGACTGATTGATGTTTTGACAGAGTAGCACGAAGCACCTTTCCATAAAGTCTTTGTCCACTCAGGTGGTTCATGGCTAGCATTAGGGGAGGAGAAAATCAAGTTCAGCTATGAGAACAGTTTGAAGCCATATCCTGTCAAAATCAATATAAATGGTCTATCTTTGCCCAATGAGGGACAAGGGTGTATACGGCAGAATGAAGATGTGGCAAAATGTATACATTGATCTTGAAAGCATAAAAAAAAAGCTACTTCAAAATTAAGTATAGCCTCAAAGAATCCCAGCATTAGAAGACCCAATAAAGGTCATATACTTCAATTTCTTGATGAATATATGAAATCCTCTCCTAAAATTATCTCATTAACACTCTGAAAACCTCCACAATGAGGAATTGCTTTTCAAAGCACTTCATTACATTTTAAGGCAGGTCACTAACTATTAGAAGACAGGCACATGGTGTTATAGAAAACAATGCTAGATTTTGAGTCAGAGAACAAGTGATCCTGCCTCTTTCATCTGTGGGAGCTACTGACAAATCATAAACTCTCTGGGTCTCATTTCCTTACTGGTAAAATAAAGGAACTGGATTAGGTGACCTCTATGGTTCCCTCGAGCTCTAAATCTACGATCTAATTTTCTTTCTTTTGTTAAACTGAAACACCACTCTCCTTTTAACTTCTACTTATATAGGTCCTTGGATCACACAGAAGAAATTTAATGATTCTTCCATATAACAACCAAAGCATTACTTCAAGATGATTGCCCTATTAAACCCCCACCCTCCCACCCCCTGCTTTGAGCCAAACTGCTAAGTCTTCTCTACTAGAAGTTAAATCTCTCCAGTCTACTTGACTCATCACATGGTTCCCACTCCCTTCCAAGAGAAAGGAATCACCAACTCTACTCTTTCCAGTGAGAAGGATTTATGATCTCCAGCCTTCTCATGTCACTGGCTCTGGAGCCAAAATGTCTCTTATGTGTTGTCTCCCTAATTAGATTGTGAGCTTCTTGAAGGTAATGGCCTGCCATGCTTTTTCTATTTGGATCCCCAATGCCTGGCACATATTAAGCACATAATGCTTTCTCGTTCACAATTCCATGCTAGCTCCAGATGTGGTCTGAACAGGATAGTACAGTGGGATTAACTTCTCTATTTAGAATTCTACCTTAATTTTTACCCAAAATAACATTGAGATTAAAACTACACTATTTTTGATTACCAATTTTGTCTTCTAATTTTGTCATCCACAAACTGATTAGCAAGATAACTACAGACATGGTCTCTTTAGCACTGCTGTACTTGTTACAAGCTGAATTAATCTGTCTCACATCATTTATATTTAAGGCTTTGACTGAGGAGTGATGATTTTTAAAGTTGAGGTAGGTGAAAACAATGTCCTTTTCCTTACTTTAAACTTATAGAACAGAATTTAACAATGGTAACTAAAGGCAGCTACTTCAACAATTTCTTGTTATTAATAACAATCCCACCTTTTAGTGATAACATAAGAAGTGGAAAAAATAGTGTGTTCCTTTCATGAAAGAAATTTCTTCCATGTTAACATTCAGATAAAAAGCTCTGCAATCATAGTTTGCTGCACTATTGAGCACATGCAAAAGGTTTTTAAGCAACATTTTATCAATAACAAGTATTCTCAGGTAGTATCACAGGTCTTTTTGCTCTCAAAAATCATGCTTTTATAAACAAAAATACATAAACAATTTAGGTAAAGAACTCTTTCTCTGAATACTAAAATTGAAGAAAATCTTTCCATAAAAAGAAACCAGTAGAAGACTGATTTTTTTCTTACCACTCTTTGTGTTACTACGAAAAAGAGGAATTATTATAAATTACATCATACTAATTAAATTCTACTGAAGAGTCAATAAAATACTTCTACAAATTTTTAAAAAGGGAAATCACTTTCATTGATCTTAACTTGCTTTAAAAAATCATCACCTTCAGTCAAAGCCTTAAATAATAGCAAAAAATTTACATGGAGATAAATTAGTTCAGATCTCAAGAAGTATAAGGGAAGAACAGTATCCAGAACACAGCAGAAGATAGTTCAGGTGGTCTACCACATCTATAATACTGTGCATAAAATGTTACCACATTTTAGAAAGGACACTGAGAAGCTAAAGAGCAATTAGAAGTGTCAAACAGCCTGCAAAACTTCTTAGTGATGCTGGAACCCTATTAAAATGTAACTGGAAAATGTTTAACAAAATAAATCAATATGCAGTCTGTATCTATTTCTCCTTGAGTTTGACACCACTGGTCATACAGACCACGAGGATCAGCTAAAGGAAATAGGATGTTTAGTTTGTAGAAGAGAAGACTTAACATGGGCTTGATAGCTTTTTTCAAGTATCTGATGGGTTGGCAGGTAGAATAGTGTTTAACATTTTCCCAAATGGCTTTAGAGGTTAAAGCTAGAAGAAAAAGGTAGAAACTAAAGACACATGGCCTTGAGCTGGATGCAAGAGAAAACCTAAAAATTCTAACACCCCCAAGTGCGATGGGCTAATTGACTTCACTAGCTTTCTTTAAACAGAGACTGATTACCACTTTTCCCAGTGCTGTGGAAGGAAAGCATTCCTGTAGAGTAGGAATTAAACAAGATTGCTCTTAAAGTCCCTGTATACAGGCCATGACAACAAATAAGATTTATGTAAGACAAAACCAAAAAGCAAAATATGATGCTATAATTTTGTACAATGGCACTATTAACGCTATTATATTTGAAACCAGCTCCACAATGAACACAAATAAATGAAAATAATCCATTTTATTACCTAGTTGAGCTTGATTTGCATCTGCCATCTGAACCAAAGCATTTTCTTTCTTATTGAACATAATCTTCACACGCTGTACATCACCATACACCCCTGTGGAAATTTTTTTTTAAAAATCATCTTTTTCAGTACATGTTGATATAAACTTTAATTTCTTTTGATAAACTTATTTAAATAATCTAAATTTATCTAACTGGTCATCTACAACATAATTTTAGAATGTCATCCACCTTAATTCTATTTCCAAGAAACTCAAAAATTTTAAATACAATGAAACACTACTATATCCTAAACAACAAAAATAACTATAAAAAGTTATACAAATAATAGATTCTATACATTGGCTAAATAAAATCAAAACAATCCTACTGTTTCATAAGCTATCCTTCAACTAACAATAGTCATCCTACCATTTCTACTATAATATTTCTCCTCCATGTCAGTAGATTCTCTCAACAGTTCTGTCATATGCCATTGAAATTAAAACAAATGACATGCTTATTTTTTTTTTTAAGAATGAAGTCTAAAATGTTAGTGCAAATCCAGTTTTTCAAACAAATGAGTAATGATGTTAGGTGGTCTACCACATCTATAATATTGTGCATAAAGTTTCTCAATTTTAAGCTTTATTATTAAAAGTAATAAAAATGAACTTACCAAACAGGATAAAAAGTCCATGTGGTGTAATAGCCTATTTTTAAAAAAAGCACAAGCTTTACTTATTTTTCCCTCAAATGTAAATGCTTAAAGAAGTTATTAAAAATCTGCCAAAGTTTATATGTGAATACATTCAATTAAAATGAAACCAGCAAAACACAGAGGTATTCTCCAAAATTCTTCATCCTTACCTAAGCCACTATTGTCATAGTAACAAACTTTCAAAAAGCTCATTATTACAACAAAATAATTTTTTCTTGAAACATGTTTCCAATTTTGAATCAATGCAACATGGCTCTATGTATAGCACAATAAAATCATTTCACAAAACCTCAACTTGATGCAAATTTTAAGTCTAACTGTAAACTACTTGCAAAAAGAAAATAAACTTTAACAGAAACAAAGTCCCTTCAGATCTCTTCGACAGGAGTAGATACCTATTAATAGCATTTGATAAGTGGGTATATTTTACATGAATTTATTTTCAAACATGAAGAATAATTTTGGAGCCAACTCCTAAGAGATCAAAACATAGTTTCCTTAGCTATGACCTACATACCTAACTGTCCAACTGAAGTCCTACCCTGGTGCTTTATTATAGCCTAGAGGTGGCCATTAGATCATCAGAACATAAACTCTGACATGTTCTACCAAAAAAAATTTGATTTATCACAGTTCTTGAATTTCTTACATATACACTGCTTTTCAACTCACATCAGAATTGAGGTTGCTGACAAGCAGAACAGAATTTCCGGGTACACCAGGAACCCCAGGAATTGCCATCCTTCCAGTGACAGCAGAGGTTGTGATGGTTAAAGGACCAAGAGCTCCAGGAACAGCTGGAACTGAAAGACCTTTACAAAAATGTCAGATATATTTCATTTTTCTAGTTATCAGGAACATTAATATAGTTTCAGAGAACACACAGACACATACCCCAAATAAAATAAGGACGTAAACACAGTAAGGTCTTAACAACATCATCATTTGTTGACTTCTTTCTCAATAGATGGACCTGAGGGTCAAGCCTTACAGGGTTACCTCATTGAACAAACATTTCTACATTTCAGTGCATAGGTCTCTTAACCTGCAAGAGCTAACAATCTCCTCAGGGGGACAGACATATACAAGAAAAAGTATAATACACAGTAGAATGTGATAGAGGCATAGGAGAAGAGATCCTTAACAGTACTCTAAGAAATTCAAAGGGTCTTTCAGATCCCTTTCAGATCTTGCCCAAGGTGGGCTTGTAAAGCAGAGAACTTTCCCTGAGGGTGGTGGCACCTTAAATGGCTCTTCAAGAAAAAAGGATTTCAACAGATGTAGATGGGAAGCAGACATGTTCCAAGCATAGGAGATATCAGAAGTACAGGCTCAAAAAGTAGCCTCCTATTGGGTCTATTCTCTTCCAAATGAGAGACACTTAATTGCCACACTTAATGCCTTCTTTGTCTGTTGCCCTATAAAACAAGTGGGCACTGGTCAGTAAGTGGGGAATAGGAATACACATAAGGGAAATACACAAATGTTTGCCTCAATTGGCCTCCATTGAGGCTTAGGGGATGAGGAGTTCTACTCCTATTCTCACCTGTAAAGAAAGAGCAAACTATTGTACTATCTAGGAAGAAGATATAAAATACCATTATTCCCAGCACTTTCTGAAATATTTACTTTAACAAATTTATCCAAAAAGTAAACTTCTGTAAAGTTATTTTCATCTTATTGTTAATTTCCATCAACTTTTTCTCAGAACAAAAATTATCCAGTCTGTTAAAAAAACTGGTAAAAAGAAGACTGTTTACCTGCATAAGAAGTTTGAATTTTTCCAATCCTATAATGTCAACACTGTAATTTTGTTCCTTTCCTTTTTTTGCCTTGGTATTCACAATGTGAAAAGACTATTTTTTAACACTAGACCCAAAATGCTTTCATCTCAAAACTTCATTTAATAAGCTAATTCCTCAATTCATTAATTCTAGGTTCTCAAGTATAATTTTCCTCAAACCAAACTTCCAATTGTAACTACTAAAAGATTTAGAAAGAAGCAAGATAACACATTACTTCTATATGATAAGTATACTTAAAAATATAACCAAAAAACAAAATTCCTTCTGCCTCTTTGCTAAAATGGTCTGAATCCCAATGGCCAGACCTCTCGTAAATGAAAGGAAAAGGCATGAAAGATTACTATACTATGCAACTTTAACACTGGGGAAGAAATGAAGGGCTGTAGAAGTTAGTGTGGCATTTCAGCAACTCCTGTTTAAAATGATTTAAAGATTGTACCTTTCAATAGCTACATGAAGCCCAGTGACAGGAAAAACCTTGGCCTTGGCCTTGGCCACACTGTGGAAAGGTTCTATTTAGCTATTTAAAGAAAGAGCAAACTGTATCACAATCAGTTCAGAATTGCTGCAATGTAAGAAAAGTGTTGAGCACCACACACATCATCTAGATTAAGATTTGAGAGAGCCAATCCTAGCCATACAAATATCCATGATTTCCCAACTATCAGGCAGGCAACCACTACTATTAATGTCACTTTTTAAGTACATGGAGGGGAAAGTAGATTAATTTCATTTCTCCTAAATTAAAATAGGGAATTTTAATATATAATATTTGGGAAAGATAAACAAGGTTCTATCTAATGACCAAAAAATCTCTCTCACCAAATGATAACCCCTAGATGGACAAAATATTCCCTCAGAAACATATGACAAGCATTCATGCATTTTTTTCCAAATCCACTGACAGAAATGGTTTTCTGGTGCTATAATTCAAACAATGAGAACTATTACACTAATGTTAATGGAGACTATAACTTTTAAGACTACTAGCTGTAATCAATCCTCAATTATCTGTGCTAATCTGATCTTTTCCTAAAGCTGACTTATCAGCTCCTACCACCCAGAATCTGAATGAAAGACCCTGGACGCTGCTGAAGACAACAATGCAGCAAGAAGAGACGCAAGGATTGCGGTTTGATCTTTGCTCTCCAAGAGGACCATGACATCAGGCAGGTGATTCCATGACATGCAAATGAATTGGATTTAAGTGAGGGAGGCCTGTACAAAGTCACCAGCCTCACTTTCTCCTCTGGAACCATCTAGGTCCAGGGGCCAGATATAGATCAGGACAACTGGAGATGGCCTACAGGGCAGTGGGCCTTTTTAAGTTAAGGTTTTTAACAGGTCTCAGTTTGACCGAGGCAATGCAAATTCAGTGATTAAGGCTTAATAAGAACTGAGGCAGAGAATGGTCTTTTTACCTGGTCAAAAATGCATTTAAAAAATTTTAAAAATCCACCTGGGAGGGGAAGATCCTCAGGGTTTCTGCCTAAAACTGAAACAATTGATATTTACATTCATTCTGAGCCAATCAGGGTTCAAACAAGGACCAAGTAGGGCTTGGCCTGGGACCTACTGTTGGCCATTCAATGAGTCCCAAGGGTAAGCTATGTGTAGATGGTCCAAGTTAAATACAATGATTATAAGTAGCAAATGTGAATATATATATACATATATATATAAGAAGATTAACTATAGTATACCTCCTATAATTTAATTTATATAACTCTCTTAATCTGGGTATCAATTCAAGAATAAACTTACCAGTAGCTTGAGGAAATCCAATGGCAGGGGCAAATCCAGCAGCTCCTGCATATGGTGAGGAAATTATACCAGGTGCACCTAATAGAAGAAAACAACAAAAGCAAACATAAGACTGTTAGCAGAAATATTATAAAGCAGTGACAATCTACTTTTTACTATCTACTTATTACAATCTACTTCTTACTAAAGGTACTGCTACACCTGAAGACTCTGGTGGAGGTAACCAACCTCAGCTGCCAGGTGTAGAAGATTATGTGATTCGTGACAGGCAGTCACTACTACTAATTTAATTCGGCTAAATTTTCTGTTAAAAAAGCACTGATGAGCTAGGTCAGAAATCTACCATTTATTGAACATTCTATGTATGGTAAGGGAAAACTTTAAGTGACTGGAGAGGGACTTAACTCTAAAAAGTTTATAATTTATTTGGAAAGACAGACTAGGTGCATAACAGGAAACCCAGTACAAGGCAATATATCAAAAGATAGGTAAGTGTGAAAAATGATTTCTCTTGGCAATCTTTGTCTTGGAGATTCAGAGCTCCCAGCTCCCCCAAGTCTTCTGTCCAAGGTTCTTCAGAAGGACATTATTGATAACGAGATTGCACTGAATCTTCATATCTTGGTCAAACTCCAACCCAGGCCTGAATTAATTTTATCCTACTCAGGTTTGGGTGGAGACAGATTTCTAAGACTGGAGATGGTAGTTCCTCTGGCTGGTGATACCAGCTCCTGTTGACCAAGATAGTGAACTAAGTCACATACTCAAGACTTATTTTAATATAACCCACCCAATCAGAGTTGATTGGCATCCCTTGGGAACACCTACTCTTCACAGGGCATATAACCCTGTACCCCTAAATCCCAAACGGAGCAGGGGGGCCCAGTTTTGGACTGAACTCCCATGCAATGCATGTTAAGCCAGCTTGACAGAAATTAAACGGTGGATATATGCACCTTAATTTTATCTGTTTCTTTCTTAAAACAGATTCTGTAATAAATTGGGGTTTGACAATGGATAGACAGAGGGTGAGTGCCAAAGGAGAGGTGTAGTCCAGATGTTAACGGGTTAAAAGAGAAAGACTACTGATGGCTAGAGAAAGCTTAATAAAGGATGTAAAGAGAAGGATGGGGGGAGGGGGGAGGGGGGAAGAGGGAATGCTGGAAAGGGGAAACCTCATAAATAAAGATATGAGGTTATAAATATAAAATTCCCTGTGGCAATTTTATTCTTGTGGACTATACAATTATTTGAAAGAAAAGTTTTTATCAGCTGGACAATATTTCACAAGAACTGCCTTTGTCAACAAAGATAAAAAAATAATTTCTCCAAAATTTTCATGTTTATGTAAAAATACGACATCATAAACTTAGAATACTCACTCTTTCTCTTAAATAGAAAAAAACAAAGATACACACGCCAAGGTATAAGTAAGGTGGATTTTAGTGTGCGTAAGGTGGATTTTTGTTATTCTTTCTTATAGTTTAGTTCCCAGGTTCCATGACCATAACAATCTCTAGTTTCCAGGTATTATATAATATTTCCCATGAATTATGGTTGAAAACAACTTCTACTGGGTAGTCGCAGTAGAGATATAGGGGTGACATAATGTACACCTGTGCTGTTCTAGGTCATGACGATATTGCTAAAGTTAACCTGTGAGCTTAAAGTTGGCATGATGCCTTTTTTGTCTGTGGCCCTATAAAAGCAAGTGGGCACTGGTCAGTAAGGGGGAATCTATTTTGGGATTTGGATAACTCACAGAGGAATCCATGTACCTGCCTTGATCGGCCCCCTTCAAGGATTGGGAGGAATCTGTGTGTTTGCCTCAACTGGCCCCATTGAGGCTTTAGGGGACATAAGGAGTTGAACTCCTATTCTCACCTGCCCCTGCAAGAAGTGTGATTAGAGCTCCCATTATCAGCAACTCTCTTGAGAAGACTAGACTAGAATAGAGTAAACTTATTTAACCCCTCTGAAGCTGTCTTCCTGTCTGACCAGATCAAGAGTGAGCCTGTTAGAAGCTGGAGCCTAAAGTCTCCAGCGCCTCCTATGCTGTTACCTGTCAACACAAGAGTTTGGGTATGTTACAGCTACTTGTCTGTGGGAAAGGCTGATAGGTGGCACAGTGAAGAGAATATTGGAATTGGCATTAGAAAGACCTGAGTCTGAATCCTCTCTAAGACACTAAAGTAGCTGTGTGACCCTGGACAAGTCATTTAACGTCTCCTGGATTCAGTTTTCTCACCTTTAGATAGGGGGTAATAATAATATTTAGCATCTATTTCACAGGATTGATGTGACCATCAAATGAGGTTATATTCTTAAAGCAAGATATACTAGTTATTATTATTATTATTATTATTATTATTTAAACTAAAACAATGAAAATCCTAAATTAAGGCAACTGTCTTGATTATTTTCCTTTTTTTAGGACATAAGATTTCTTTAAAAAGAATGTCCACCAGAATATAGATGAAACAAACTTTCAAATAAAAGCAAAACTAATAAAGCAGACAAAAATTTTAAAGTTTAAAAGATACTTGCTATCCTTCCTAGTGTATTAGTGAACAGATAAATTGGTTGACGGCTTTTCTCCCTTGATTATAACCACATTTTTCCCTTCATGGACCGAAACTGCTAGACACTCTACCTATCTATTGATTTCTTTAAAGAAAAGGAATCATTCTTCCCAAATATCACATTCTAGTTATGTATCAAATGGTTATATTTCTTGTTTCTTTCTAGACCCATGATTTCATGTTTATGGAACTTCCATGGGTGAAACTCCCTCTACTAATACAATATGCAACCTTTCTGTAACAACGTTTTGAAGTGTTGCCATGGGCACTAAGACTTGCCCAAGGTCATGTAATCTGCACGGATCAGAGTGAGGTGCTGAAAAGAAGTCCTCCCAGACTCTGAGAACGACTCTTTCTGCTTTACCATGCTACCTTCCCACAGGACCTTTCAAAGAGTCTTTAACAATTTTAGGAATGCTAGGCTGGATGAGCAAAATAAAAAACACAGGATGATGGCAGAGAGTAGTTGTAAGGAGAAGAGATGTGATGACATGGTGAAATATGGATCTTTAAGATATAACCATGATTTTCAATGACTAGATATAATGTAGGAATTACAAAAAAAAAATAAAATTTAACATACACAACACAAAAATCTGTATTACCAAAATTCTACCATAATGTTTTTAAAATCTTAGGACATCATGTGTTTGTGATACAAGCACTAGCTCATTAATTCAGACAATATGAATATTATTTACTGATTTGCAATCTTACTTTCTATCATCATTTGTTACAGAAGCAGCTATCATAAATGGATTTACTCTGGCAAATGAGATCCCAAAATACTGATGTTAAAAAATTTTTTCAAATAAAACAGGAATTTTAATAATTTGGTAAGCAAAATGCTCCACCTGTGCTAGATTTTAGTTTTAAACAAAGGCCTTTTACATCAAGAAGCCGCCTGAAAAAAAATCAAAGATTATTTAAATAGGGAAATTAAATTACTTCAACTGAAAAACCAACTATACTCAGAAATATCAAATCCAGAGTGGCCTATAAAAATACTTTAATATAGTTTCTTCCTTTGTTTGTAGACATCTTAATAAATCCAGTTTGATTAATATGAAAGAAAAGATTTCAGGTATACATTTTCACTAAGTGTCAACTCTCAAGCATATCACTTGATGTTTCTCATCTAATTTTTTTTTTTAATTTCAAAATGATATGAAAGCCAGTAGGTAAAGAAAACTATCAGTCAGTTATTAAGGCATGCACCTCACTTGTGACTTTGAAAAGAATTACGTACCAAAAGCAGCAGCCATAGTAGGATCAATGGATGGCTGGCCATCACCAGAAGGAAGGTCAAGGCGAGTGAAATCTCTGCTTTTGTCATTATTATACTTCACATTAAGGCTGGTTAACTTGGAGAAGTCAATACGCAGAGTGCAGCATGCATTATAGATATTCTGGCCATCCAGAGCCTAAAGGATTTGAAGAAAGGTACTGATTTTTTGGGTAGTATTACAAAATGAGCATGTCAAATTGTCTTTTTAAAAAATGTGAATTGCATTTACTTGCCGTATGTTACCATTCAATTATTGTGAGCCTCAGTTTCTTCTTCTATTAACCACTCCCCTCTCCATTAGTCCCCCCAAAATGTAACAAGTCTTCTCTTTTGTTGAAAGGAAGCATTGTGCAGTATACAGAGCTCCAACCTGGAGTGAGAAGTTCTGTTTTCAAACCCTATTCTAAGACAAAAATTGTGTGACCCTGGGCAAGTCACTTAACTGTTCTAGGACACAGTTTCCTCATCTTTAAAATGAGGGGGTTGGACTCAATGACCTTTAAGGTCCCTTTCAACTCCAAATATATGATACTATAAAATTCCACAGGCCATTTCACTCTTAATTTTAATGATGCTAATTAAATAATATTCAAATTAAATTATTCTGCCACAGAATTTTCTTGTTTTGAAGAGTCTTTAAAATACTTTGGATAATGGGGAAATCTCAAAATATGAGAAAAGGCTACTTTTCCATTCTTTGATTTTCTGTAGCTTACAGCACAATTACATACTACTTGATTTAGCTATTAACAGGAAAAGTAACTTCCTGAAGGAGTGTTAATAGGATTCACAGCTAGAAGAGGCCTTAGAAAATACAAGTAGGCAGCATAGGGGATAGAGCCTAACTAGGCCTGGAGTTTGGAAGACCAGAGTTCAAATCTGGCTTCAGATCTGCCCAAGTGTCAAGACATTTATTAGCACCGTGAGCCTGCACAAGTCATTTCTATCTAAGTTTCTTTAACTGAAAAATGAGGATAACAACAGCACCTACTTCCCAGGGTTGTTGTAAGGATCAAATGAGATAATATTTGTAAAGTGCTTAACACATAATAAGTGCTTAATAAATATTTTTTCCTTCCTTCCTTTCTTAGAGAAAATTTAATGTAAACCCTTCATTTTACAGAAGCAGAAATGGGTCCAACAACTTGCAAAAGGTCGTTAGATATTTCTGATTTCAAATCAAGCACTCTTTCAATTATGTAACATGCTGCTTCATAATCAATGTGATTATACACTAAGTCCTTTTTTGGAATGATGTTATGTTATAGCAAAGTGTAAGAAGTCACTAATTTTTAATCTGCGATATACCTGTAACTTAAGTAACCATATGAACATTTCTATAATATTTCTAAAATATAGTAGACAATATTCTGAAATAAAATTATTTTGAAAATATACTAATAAAGCAGGCATACTGTGCTTATCTCACAAAGTTAAATGAGTCCTTTAAAAATTGTACAGCACAAATTAGATGTAAAGCACTGCATACTTTAATATACATAGATGAATATCTACAACTACCTTACTCCAGATCCTCTTATTCCTCTTAGTTCTATATCTTATCTTACCAGGATAAGATCAAACATAAGCTGTCTTCTCAATGTACTTGAATAGTGCTGCAATTCAACCTTCATCAACTATGCCCAAGGGTAGGAAGATTTTTATCAGAGACTACCAAATTTGACAATTAATTGTAACTCCATCAAACTACATGAAATAACATTATATATACATATATAGCTATATGTGCATATGTATAATTGTGATATATTTCAAATTATGTTATCTTAATATATTTCCAAAAAATGCGTCAAAAAAAGAACAGAAAAAAACTCAAAACACTTCCAGCAAGAACTAAAATATCTGTTTAAATATAAAAATTTACCTAAATATTTACTTTGAAATGTTGGAAAACTGTCAGAGATAACATTCTAGTCAAACTGATTAAAGTTCTAAACCATGAAACGGCAAATGTCATATCATACAGACATTAAATAATTCTAATGTAATAAAATGGAAACAATAAAATGATCTTTTTTTCTTATTCATTCTAAACAACTCTGGTCACGATTACCATTTTGGCATAATGTGCATTCAGTGGCTCAGCATACTGAAGCAAGGCCTGAAACTGATTGTTCTTTGTGAAGGTGATAATCCTCAAAACTGTTCCAAACTTGGAAAAAATCTGAAAGAAAAATTACAAATTTGGATTAAGTACAGGAAAAAAATTGAAACACTGTGATTTGTGGGTATCTCTTTACTTAAGAAAGTGATGTTAGTAACAGCTACAAAGCACTATTTTAAAACTAGAAAGCTTCCTCCAGTAAGAACCTGGGCCGAAAATGTGTTAAAATCACACCCAGCGTAGCAAGAAATTTTTAAAGCTCTTACATAAAGGAAATTGGTGATTTCAGAGCAACACGAGTAAATTACAGGTTGAATATAATGGAAATGACTGACTGTATAACCTTATGGCAAAGGAGAATGCGGGAGGTGGGCATTTTATGATTTAGCTGCTATGACTTATGATTTTCTTTCTTTCTCAGGTTGTCCCTAAAAGATAAACAGGAAAGGAGCTGTCTTGATGTTCATTTCAACTAAGCAAAGATATACTGCGCACCTACAACATGAATAATATAGGACCAAAAAAATACAAAACGGGATATGAAAGCTATATGCCATGATCTCTGCCTCTGAGGAATTTATAATCACACGGACGAGAAAGAATACAGGAACAATTAAAGAACAAAAAACCCTACATGCTTACAGTGCCCAAATATGTACATAAGTTTATGAAGAGAAATAAGTAAGATTATGGCTAGAGAAGCTGGCAAAGGATCAATAGATAAATGAAAGTAGGATCTGACCTGAAGTAGTTTCAGTGGTAGAGGAGTGACATAAGAATGATTAACAAATAACTAGATGGGGGTGGAAGGATGTGCAGTGGAGGGACAGAAACAGGGGAAGAGGGATGAGTTAGTGTTGATTCCAAGTTTCCAAGCAGAGTCACTAGAAAAACAGAGATATCAGTAGAAACATAAGTTAACAATGAGACATGGGCATGTTTTGTTTTGGTTATTTTTTGGGTGGGATTGGGGGGGAATTATTTGATTGGGCCATGGCTGAGCTTAAGACCTGAAAGGCATATCTTGGTGAAGATATCCTACAAGCCACTGGCACTATGGAACTAAACCTCTGGGTCAGAGATACAGATGTCGGAATCATTTACTAGGAGATGATCGAAGCCATTGGAGTAAACGAGATGAACTATAAAAAGTGTATATAGGGAGAAAATCAAAGGGTCAAGAACAGAATATTAGTGGATATAGCTAAATTTAAGGAGGAGAAAGATGAGAAACCAGCAAATAAGGAAGGTACACCATAAAATATCAGGAATCAGGGGCATCAAAAAAATCAAATGCTATAGTGGTTAAGTACAGTAGGATGCAGACAGAAGAAGGCCATTCACTGCATTAGTAATAAGTGGATCAGTGGGAAAAAACTCTTAACTGTGGTGGTGGACAAGGCCAGAGTGAACAGGATTGAAGAATGAATGCTGGTGAAGAAATGAAAGTACTGAGTGTAGTCTCCCCTTACTAAAGGAGTTTAAAAGTAAATGCAAAGAAACAAGGTGATAGTTACGCAAAAACTGCTGGGTCAAAGGAAACTTTAAGTAGGGAACAACTGAAGATACTTGCTGGGTGAGTGAAAAGAGTATATCAAGAAAAAAATTATTGCAAAAATATCTAGCTTTTTTAGAATATAAGTTATGTTTTAAGTCTTAAATAGTCAAAGTTTTCTAAGTATTAAAGTAAAATGTATTATGGATAAAAAGATAAAAAATACATATATTCATAAATCTGTGTCAAATATCTAGCATGCAATGGGAAGGGAAAAAAGATAAAAAGAAAAAAGAATAAAAAAAGAAACACCACCAACAACAGATGAAAAAATAATAATTCTTGCTTTTGAGGAGCTTATAACCTATCATTTCAAATGTGTTTCTAGTGATGGCAAATATGAAAAAATTCCAGCTTAATTTTAACAAAATGGAAAGAAGTAGCTTCCCTCCTATATTTGGCATGAATTCATTTTAAAACTTGTATAATTACTGCAACTTTTCTTCTAAGGATGTCAGCTGAAAACATGCTATACAAAGGTATCGAATATTGAATACATGGAATTCTAATACTGGTAGAAAGATGAGCCTGATGGCTAAATCCTCATATGGAAGAGTTCTTTTTTATTCATTTCATTGCTTTGGTTTCTTAAAGAAAGTAACATCCCACAGGTATACAATCAGACCAAAAATTTGTTTTTGAAGATAATGCAAAGGTGACAATTCAGATCTAAAATTATCTAGAATTTTTAAAATTGACAAAAATCAACAACTAACAGATAATGAATTTGCTTCTTAAGTTTTAGTTAATATTCCTTCAAGTGCATGTATCCATGAAAAAATGTTTTATTACATTTCTGATTATCTTTGGTTAAGTACTGGCAAATGCAGAAAAACACTGCTTTGCATATTTAAAATAGAAGGGTTCTGGCTCTTCAGACATCAAAACACCTATCATTTCTTGGGAAAGAGTCTTTCCTGATATATGTACACAGACACAGACACAGACAGACACACACACACTACTATATCTTAACAGTTTTTGCCACATGCTTTTCACACCTAGGGAACCACCACCACTGCCATTTCTAGAACACTGGGAAAACCTTACCACCCTGGCCAAACGTTAGCATGGTCATTTTAGTTGCCAACAATCAACAGATTCACATTCCCTGAGCCTGCAATAACAGCCTGTAGAACCACATTTCCTGAACAGGAAACTTAATGGTAGGATTTGAGGAAATCTAACAGCTGGGGAAGGAATGGTTTCTCAATTCTAATTAATTATTATTAATTTGGTATTATACTAATAGAAGCTTCAGGCATTATTTTTATGGCACATTGTAGCTTATTCATTTATACAAAATAAATTTGGTCTCAAATCATCCAAATGTGTTAATTGTAAGAATTTTTCCTTTTAAATGCTGGAGATATTTTACTTTAATTGTACCAACAAATTTATTTCACTGCTTCTCAGTACATAAATCTATGTACTCACAAAACCTAAGTATATCTTATAATTGTTATTTTAGATAAAAAGTGGATTGATTACATATTAAAGATTAAACACTTGATGAAAGTAATCTATTTTATTTTAGGTAAAATTTGGCAAAAGTTGCTAAGAAAAAAGATTACTGGCATTTACTCATAAAGGGCTTAACAGATTAAAACATTTCTTACAATAATAAATACCATGGTAACAACTTGTTTACAAAAGCTTTATAAGAAACACAGAATTCTATATTACTAGTATTACTGATTTTTAAAAATTAAATGTCACCATAATTACTTTCAGATGCCATTTAATTTTATATGGAAGGATAAATGATTTGGTCTCTTTTAAGCATAATGCTACACCTAAGAAAGCCAAATGCACAATATTATTAGGATAGCATAGATATTGCTGACTCAGAGTTACAGCGAAGGGTAGGAGTGTTTGTGGATTATATTTTTGCAATCCTCCACAAATTAAAATAAAATTCTAGTTTGGACCTAACTTACAATCCAAATTTATTTATACATGCACACATACATATACATATATAAACTGTGTGCATGTATACGGGTGTGTATATACGTGCACACACATATATCTCAATTATAACTAAACAACTTCGTGAAAAATATGAAGTATAAAAATAAATTCACATTGACACACACAAAAAAACCATAGTGAAACCTGCTTTTGAAACCATGTTTCCCTGAAGGTAGTACTATGGACAAGCAATCTTTGAAAAAGGTTTATGATTATGTATTATTTACTAAGTTAACAGTGTTTTTATTATGAATTGGAAATAAATTTTTACAATGGAAGCAACATCTGATAAAATGTATAGTTACTGCAAATGAGACAGAGTCCCTAATACATTGTAATTCATCAGATGGGTTATTCAAAAAATGTTGATGATGCTACTTAACAAAACAGATCACCAGAATATGTATTTAATACAGCTAACCAATTTTAAAATTTCCTTCAAAATTGTCTGAACTTTGCAATTACTTGGAAAATAGGTAAATAACTAATAACTAGTATTACCACAATTCCAATATTTTGATATTCAAATTCCAATGGATCTATGACTCCCATCAATGTGGATACCAAACTCCAGGGATAAAAATTACAACCTATCCTCCCCTGTACATCCTGTGTGAGTCTTATCCCTGTCCTACTGGTAGTTTCCCTTGACATCATGAGTTTACAACTGGAACACATGGGCTCCATCAATTATCCCATACTCTCAACATGTGACCAGTCCATCTTCTTTTCAATCAGACATTTCCTTGATGATACCCTTCATACCATTTATCCAGCATAATTACTTGTCTGTAATGCATTAAAGCCTGCTCATACCTACTAAGTGTTCTTCCATTGCCCTCTGGGGGATCCTCATTTTCAGTTCTTCTGAGGCTATCTAGTTCCATGAATTTAAGCCACAGATTACCACTAGAGGAATATTAGTTTTGAAAACATAAGCCTTTTGTTTTTCCAAGAAGTTTGGGGTCATTATAAGAACTTTGCAATTTCCCAACTTCTCAACCTGCTCCTGTCATCCTTTAATATTCTTGGCCCCACTCACTATTCATTGGGACTATCTAAAATATATTATGATGATGGAGGAGCTCTACAGGTTATCCTTTTAACAGTTTATCATGGAAAAACAGACATTCTTTTTTCACTTGGTTTTCCCCTATGTTGATGATTAGGCCAATATACTTAGAAAGACAACGGATTTGATTGGTCCTGCAATATTCCAAGGCTTGACACAATCAGCACAATATCACCTCCAAACAAAAGTGTCTCGAGGACCTCACTCTTTATAGGGAGTCCTTCCTCAAGTTGGACTCTGTGATGTATCTCCACAATAGCAGTAGAAATTTCCTCTGGCAAGTATACATTTCCCTGTTTTGAGAACACTGAACAGTTATCAGGGTTGTTATAGCTTTCAAGGAATTTTATATAATTCTGACCATACGCATAGCAGATACCTTGTTGGATGTCAGTCTTGCCATTTTCCTCAAGTTCAATCAAATGCATTTTTACAGCCAACAATGAATACATTGAGAATTTATATCCTTCGATTTTTCTAGTGAATTTTGTGGTGCCAAAGACATCAATCACTGCAGAAAAACGCTTATGAAAATCTGATTGTTCTTTTTTAATACCCTTAATCAAGAATGCCATCAATGAATGTCAATTATTCTCCCAAAAAAAAATATATAAATGAGAAAGTAGAGAAAAGGATTAAAATACTGATATTTTCATTTGTTCTTTTTCATAGTAATAAAAAACATAAATACTGTATTTTTGGTATTGTGTCTTTTTTCAGATACCTGAAGAATAAATACTTCATTGACCTCAACTGTGTCCAATCTATGTGTCTGTTTTGTTTAGCTGAAGTTTTTGCTAAAGGGAGGGTTCTGCTGAGGTGTCACTGTGAAGAAATAATGAACTTCTTTAAAAAGAGAAAAAATAGCAATAAAATGTTTTTTTTTAAATATAGTGAAATAACTGCTACAAGTAGCAATTAGTCAGATTTGAGCATTATTTTCTTTCTTATTTCTCCTTACCTGATAGAGTACTTCAAGAGTGACAGGGTAAAAGAGGTTTTCCACAATTATTCGAAGAACAGGGCTTTGCCCAGGAAGAACTCCACCTTCATTGCCTGGGGCTGCAGTAAGGGCCAGACTTCCAGACTGGACAGCATTCACTGCTTGCAAGGCAGCTTGAGCTCGCTATCAAACAATCCAAAATGAGAATTCTTATAAAATCCAGCCATCAAATATGCAAACACAGAAGTAAAGCAGAAATTGTTATAAGGTAGTTTAATGTATACTTTTTTTTTTGCAAGTTAGGCCCATCTGAGTTCTGATTAATATATTGATTCATTTTTTCTAAAGGTAAAATGGGAATCTAGAAAAAGATAATACTTCCTCTTACTTAGTTCACATAAGTAATCTTAAATATTAGAGGACTAAAATAGTCTTAAAACTAAAGATTCCATTATAAATTAAAGGTAAAGTAAAACTTCAATTAACCAGACCCCAATTAAGCCATTTCATTATTTTTCATTACCATTTCAGTACACATCACTTTTAAAAGAAAGCTAGAAATGATGAAATTTCTTTAAAATAACTCCTTGGTAACTTTCTGAGTATATCCGGGGCCTACCCAATGACATGGAAAGTCACCACTAGTATCGCTGAACCAAAAAAAAAAAAAAAAAAAAAAAAGAGGGAAGCTGCAGAAAAGTTAGCATGAGGCCTAACCAAGCCAGATACCCCCCCCCCCCGTTTTGTAGGCAATGGGGTTCAGTGACTTGCCCAGGGTCACACAGTTAGCAAGTGTCAAATGTTTGGTCTGAGGCCACATCTGAATTCAGGTCCTCCTGACTTCAGGGCTGGTGCTCTATCTACTGCACCACCTAGCTGTCCCCAGATTATTCTTGAGAAGACAACAAATGGCTATGAGTTAGAAAAAACATTTAAAAAAAAATAATTCAGACAATCAATTAATCAATAAGCATTTATTATGCATCAACTAAATGCAAGGCAGAAGATAGTCCTTGCCCTTCAGTACCTCAAAATCTAATAATCTATTCTTTTCATTAGTGATAATTCAAGCAACACATTTAGCTTCAATTCCTCCTCAGCATTCTATGTACAATACATAAAAAGTAGAAAAGGCACTTAAGTTGCAGTCAGGAATCAATTAAACAAATAGCTGGACTTGAGCAACTACATACAGAAGAAATCTACACAATTTTTTAGGCACTCAATGCTCTTGGTAAGACCTCAAAGATAAAAATGGTACCTTCAAAATGGAAAGATTAGAGGTGGTACTAGGACAATAGCAATTCACCTCTCTGTGGCAGTTTAAGGTTTTCAAAATGCATTCCTCATGATGAAATAAGAGAGTATTATTACCCTAGTTTTACATAGGGGGAAAATAGAGGCCAAGGGACTTGCCCATGGTCACAATACTACTATCTCAGGTAGAAATCAAATCTTTATCTCTTCACTTTTAATGCATTCTAATCATCATACCACACTGCCTCTCAAAAACAAGTTAAAAATGGCTAGGACTTATGTTTAGCAAATGCTTATTGAAAAAATCAAATCATGAACACAGAATGTTTAAAATAATCTATAATACTGTCACATTAAAAAAATTCTGCCACATTACATGAAGCACTCTATTTTTCTCAAACTTTTGTAACCATATTCTTTCAAACTTCTTTGTGGCAAATGAACATTCTTCCCTTTATGACTAATTGTTGTAGCACTACAAAGAAATTTCCACCAATCCAAAAATACAAAGAATATTTTTCCTAAAAAGTAGATAACTAATGAAATCTTCTGAGAAAAAATTAGGTAATAGCAATTAGAAATTTACTGTCATTACTTAATGGAGTTTCTGGTTCATCACATAGGAGATTCAATTCCGGCTTCACTGGTATAATCTATTATATTTTATATGTATAATTACATTCTGTATTACATTACATCAGAAACACAAGAGGGATTAAATTCTTCTACAAATGTAAAAATGAATTGGGAAAAGGCTCTTCCTGAACACCTTGAAGAGTCCTTACCACTTCATTTAAGGATTTCTCCTGACGGGCTGATAAGCTACTAGGAAAGCCAAAGAAAACTGCCTATATTACAAAACTTAGCTGCTAATCTAAGAAACAGTTTCCAGTGACACAGTGTTCAATCACATAAAATATATACCATATAACGAGTCTCCAAACATTCTATGTTTACATTATGACAAAGTATCTGTCATGCTTCGAAGTTACAGCTGCTACCTTTGGCCTCACAGCATACCTAGGGTTTACAGCCTTCTTAAAAGAATAAATGATAATCATTCTAATCTCTGGGGGAGATGTCTTGTTTTATCTTCACAAGCCTGAGCAAGAGGCAAGTGAAGTTATCACTCGTGCTTCAAAGATAAGAAAGTTGTCTATTATTACATGAGGCATGATTCACAATGAGACTTTCCTAACTCTAGGTCCAACACACTGAAGTTTTTGAGTTTTAAAAAGAAGAATTGGAAACTATCAACAATTGTATAAAAGATTGCTCCAAATCACTAAATAAATGTAAGTTTAACAGTCTACATACCAAAAAGATCAACAACAATGACAAAACATTGAATATGTCAATGCTGGAGCGGCTATAGAAAGTCAGGAACACTAACTAATACACTGTTGATGGAGCAACGAATCTATCCAGCCAAACTAGACAACAATTTGCAATTACGAAGAAAAGTCATTAAGTATTTATGAGAGCTGGACATATACCTTATGAAGATCAAAGAATAGTCCCATATATATATATATATATATATCAAATATTCATAGCAGTTCTTATATATAGTATCAAAGAACTAGAAATAATGTGGGCATCCATCATTTGGGAAAGAACTGAATAAACTGTTATCTCTGAGCAAAAGAGAGTATTATGATGTTGTTGTATACTATAAAAATGAGAAATTAAAAAAATGTGCGGAGGTCAAATGAATTTACACAAAGTAAATAACCAATAAAATGATATAAAAAATTGCTACAACAACAATAGAAAAGAATGCCCAAATGAAGACAAATGCTATGTAAATGTAATGACCAATCCTGGCCCTGAGAAGAGATGAAATAATGCACTTCTTATTTGAAGAGGTGAGTAAGGCTATAGATATGCTATGCTATATATGTTGTCAAATATAGTCACTATATCCCCAGTTTTGTTTAACTTTTTTGTTTGTTTACAAGAGAAAGCTCACCTGGTAGTGGTGTATACAGGGTAGAGGACAGAATATATCCAGAAACTCCCATCACAGGATCATAGATTTAGAGCTGGAAAGGACCTTGGAGATCATCAAGTCCAATCCCTTTATTTAAAGATGAGGAAACTAATGTCCAAAGGGGAAATGATCTGTCTACGGTCACATAGCTAATAAGTGCCTGAGTCATTATTGGGACGCATTTTTCAGACTCCCAGGTCCAAAGTTCTTTTCCCTAAGCCACCTATGATATGAAAAACTATCTTAGATAGAGCATCTGGCATACAAGCTAACTAAAAGCCTCTTTCTCTCCTCAGATGGAGGTATCAGTGACTAAGAAGATTGCACAAATATTCTAAGATAAGTGCAATCAACTCAACTTTCTTTTAATTAAATAAATCCTTGGAAGAAAAATTTTAAGGCACTGTACCAAATATGATTTACAACAACAAAACAAAAATATAAAAAGGATGTGAGAGTCTATTTTGCGACCTCTAGCCTACACATACATTTTAAGGGTTGAATAATTTAATAATAACAAGGTACAAGATAGTTTTAAGTTCAATTAATAAGTAGTGAAAATATAAGCCAATCTCAATCTCTCTGAGTTTCTTATTTGAGGGGGGAAAAAAAGGCAGGGGGATATAAGGTAGACAGTGGGAGAGGAAGACAAAACGACTTAGCTTCCTTCCAGCTCTAAAATTCTACAGTCTTATGTCATATAATCATTCAACTATGTTTCTAAAAACATTATTTCCTCATATTTCCCTATACCTGAACATTGGATCTAGCAGAAGGTCACATTCAAGCTTCCTACTTTTCAAAGTCAATTAATATTCAAATATATTTTAATTAGATTAATGCCATATGCCCTAATTAATATTTTAAAAGTGAAAGGGTTTAATACTCACTGCTTGATTAGGTAGATTGTCAGTCTTAAGTTCTCTGTGATTAGAATACTGAATATAAACAGGTTGACTTCGGAGGTGAGGAGTAACTGGAGTGTAGTAGTTCACCATAGTAACAGCAGCTTCCTCAGAAGCCATTTCTAAAAATGCCTGCAATTAACACAAAACAAATTTTAAAATTCGCAACACATTATAAAATCATTGTTATTTCATTCTCCTTATTAAGGTTACCAGGACACAGGAGATCTTAAACAAATTTAGTTTATGGTTCAGGAACTATTCTTTAAAACCTAATGTTCACAATAATTTGATAAAGAACATAACAATTTTCATTTCCAAAACTTTTCCAGAATTCATTATTTTTAAATGTATAGTGAAAGTTACACTGCCGAGCAATTTACTAACTAGAAACCAATATTTGAGATATCTTTCACACCATATATTAAATTTAGGAACCAGTGAATGGAATCGCACATGACTGGAATCTGTTTGTTGCCCAATTGATAAGAATAATATTATTTCCTAGTCCTACTATTTATTTGGTTTCGGAGGGTGGGAGAAGTTAAATACCTTCATTGTAAAGCTCTTGCAAAAATGGTGATTTAAATACATAAATCACTGACCTTTCATTTAATAAAAGGCCTTTGGAAGACTAGCAAACCTGTCTTCAAGTTGGAGAGGGCTGCTAGTATGCCCCTCCTTGTGTCCTGGAATTCTTGCCAGGAAGGCAATAACGACCAGAAGTAATTGAGGTAGAAATGGTGGTGGGAACTGGCATATCCTGAATATCCATCACCTGTTCCCTGTAATCTGCCAGTAGAATTTCCCCATCAGCACCCCCTCACTATCTGGCACCTTTCAATCCCATACTTTCCCTCCTCCCCCAAATAACAATTGGAAACCCCTGAAATAACTAGCTATGCAAATGACAATAACAAATCATAGCAGAATACCTTCTCATATGGAGCCACTTCAGTCAAGTTAAAATTCTTAATCTTTTTAATGAATAAACACTAATGTCAAACAGTAAATGAATAATGCATTAGGGGCTGAAAAGGGACAACTATTGAGGAGGCTATTTAACCTATCATCTAACTCAGTATAACTCTAGGGATAAGATCAGAACATACAAAGTGCTTTAAGGATTTCTCCTTCTCTCCAGCTCCTCCCTCAACATTCTTCCCATTTAATAGCTGGCTACACACAGTATCATTAATATAAATTATTTATTTGTAGTCACATCAGTTCCTTCATTTACCAAATCAAATACCAATTAGTTAGCTTTATTTCTCCATATCGGAATTTAAAGAAATACTGGATATTTGTAACATATTTTTCAGGTACTATTGTGATTTTATATCTACATAGGAAAGCACACACATGAATGTCTTTAAATAGTAATGGCAAGAACCACTAAAATAAATAATTTCCTCTCCTATAAACATTGTGAAATTTTTTGAGCATTAAACTATTACATACCTGGCTTTTTCCTTTCAACATCAAGAGATTGGTTACTTTGCCAAATGGTAGACCTAATGATATGACCTCTGTTTCAGTAACATCATTTGGAATTTTACGAAGATGGAGAACACGAGAAGGAGAGCAGGGAGATCGATCTCCTTTAAATTTCTTGCTGTCATTCCCATTAGCTAAAAGAAATAATTTTTTAAAAAATATTCTTAACTCATATTTTCATTATCATACATTAGTCATATTGAGTACTGATAATTGTATGCAGTAAAACCATGCACCTGAAATTCAAGGAACTGTTAAAAACTAACTTTTAAGTAAAACACAGGTATGTTGTGTTTTTACTAGTACTAAATGTACAGCTACATGAAGTCTAAAATTAGAGGACTTGCAAAAATATGAATATTAATCCTACAACCTTTCATTATGAATATCCAATTTTGCCTTTTTCCTCTTTCCTAGCATAATAAAAAAGTACACAACTATTTCATCATCATAATCATGGGAAATATCAGCAACAATTTTTTTTCCACAGTTGTCTAAGATCAAAAGGATTTTTTTCAGTTTCTACCCATAGTAAACTTTGACTCATTTGTCAAATATTAAAGTATCCATAAATGAAACCATTTAAGAAATTTCATTTTGGGGATGTGGTTGTATTTGGATATATCATTTGTTTTCATTTAATGCTGAAATTATCAACTTAAAATTTATAGTAGTTCAGAATGGATAGGCCTAACAATAAATATTGAAATTTCAGTGTTCAGAAACACACACACACATACAATTTACATAGTATTTAAATTAAATTATTTAAAAATGTGATTTTGGCATAGACTAATTTTAGAAAGCAATTGTTTATGGCCTTTATGCCCTATGTTAGGATAATACTAGGTTTTATGGGAGAATGAACATATATATATATATGTGCATGCATATGTACATATAGCACAGAAGTCAACCTGCCTCTAAGTTGAATTGTCTTCTTTCCAAAAGCAGTTTCCTTTCCTAATTTCTTCCATTCAAGCAATAGTTGCACCACTTACCCTTTAATATAGGCTCCTAACAGCAAAAAGCATCCCCTCTCACTCAACCCTTTCTGTAAAATTCTTTCAACTCTTCATTCAAAATGCCTGCTACATTAATTAGTTCCCTTCCTATATCCCAAACGAATCAAAGACCTCAGTTCATGGATTTACTGAGAGCCTTTTAATGATTGTCCTTCAACTCCAATTTCTCCCTATTCTAATCTATCTCTTACATTGCCTCTGCATTAATCTTCCTAAAACCACTTTCTTATCATCCCATTGCTCAAAATCTAGTTTTCCAACACAAAGAGGAAAAAATTACAAACTTCTCAACCTGACATTTAAAATTTTCTAGACATGCTCAAACTTTTCAACATCTCTTCTATTTTACTACTTTAATTGAAGCCTTCTCACCAATGAATTTACCTCATCCCTTGCAACCCTCTCTTTGTGAGTACATCTGATGACAACACTGATTCATAGAGCCAAAAGGCAAATTCCTTGTTCCCACTGATATTTCTAAATCATTCCATCATCTCTGTCACTGATTTGTATGGAAAGGAACACCAGAAGTGGTATTAGAGGCCGAGAATTTGAATCCCTGGTAAGCTACTTATTATTAGCTGTGCAATTTTGGACAAATCATTTTACCCCCCTATAGTCATTTTGCTTCCTATACGTAAAATGGGAAGGGGGGGGCAGGGAAGGAGGTTGGTATAGATGCTAAGAAACTTTCCAGGCCTAATTCCAATGAAATTATATGTTTTCATTCTCTCACTGACAATAAAACCTATTTTTTTGAACTGAGCACAACCTTCAATCAGTTTCCTGACCCTTTCTCCTTCACATTAACCTCACCCTCATACTCAAATGACCTCTTGGTCTGCTATCATAATAATCTCTCCCTCCACTCTTTCAGTCAAGTTTTTTCAACTCTTCATTCAAAATGTCACCCTGGAATTTCTCATCCCCTGAACTCTTGCCATTCTTAAACTGTGAGTTTTCATTCCTGGGTTACCTGCACCATTCTCACTTCACCACTCACATTTACATTATATAGCACATTAGCTGAGTCTGACTCCTACTTGACAATACTAAATATAAATATTATGTTACATATTTATATATATATATATGATTTGTATATATTATATATAATAAATATTATTATATATTATAATAACAATGACTCACTATTCCATGCCCACAATATCTATTCCAAATCTGTTTTCAAATCAACCTTATACCAATTCACTACCTCCACTCATAAGCAGATGATCTCCCCTCCTATTTCACATTAAAAAGACCAAGGTCATTCCTATGAATGATTTCCTCAACTCCTCTTATACAATTTCTCAAAATTTCTGAGCAACATAATCCATTCTCTCCTCTTTTCCTCTGGTTATGGAAAAAGCAACACTTTTCATTAAGCTTATATAGATAGGTCCTTAATCCCACTACTTCCTCCAGCTTCCAGGACATTACTCCAGGCAGCCATTACCTCTCAATTCATCTTCAAACTATCCTTCTACTTTGGTTTAATAATAACAATAATAATGATAATGATAATTTATATATAAGCTTACTCAGGTCCCCAAGTTCTCTTAAAAAGCAAATAAAACTTTCCTTCATCCTTTTATTTCATTTAGCTACTCTTCTTCCCTTAATTAAGTTTCTTGAAAAGAACTGTATAAATGTATTGTATAAACATATATACATAACAATGCTTCTAACATTACTATTGGACTGAAAAGGTTCTTTTAAATGTTCCTTATTTCCTAATTGCCAAACCTAACAGTTTTTCAATCATCCTCCTTCTCTCTAGTTTTTGACACAATTCCTCCTACAGGACACTGGGCTTCACTTTGGAGACACATTGTCTTTACCTTTCCCAACAATCTGTTTTTCTCTGGCTCTTCTTTTATCCTCTTCGAGATCCTTTAATATGTATTCATGAAATACCCTCCATAAACTATAACTTATAAGTTATATCTTAGAACTTAGAACTTATAAGCACCTTGAAAACATGGATTCTTCATTTCTGTCAATGTATTCTCAGTGTCCAGTACACTGCACTGCACCTAGTATTATATATATTTCTTTATAAATATTTCTTGAGCTATCTTCACTCTTTTGCTTAATTTTACTTACCTCCACAGCTTCAACAACTACCAAGGTGATTTGTGAGGCTCTTTCAAGTCTTGACATCTTTTCAGTTTCAGATCTGCATTTCTAACACATTTATATCTGATCTCCCACGACAACCAAAAACTAGCATATTATCTTTAAAAGCCAGTCTTTATTTCATTTTTTTCCCCTATCAGTAGTACTATTGTTCATACAGTCTCCCACGCACATTGGCTTTATCTCTGACTCTTCCTTCACCATTACCTCTCGCATCCAATTTCCAATTCTAGTTAACTGTACCTCTGTGACTTCTCATAATCTGTCTTCTCTCTATGAATATTAATACTACCTTACTATAGCCACCTGTAGTATTACAATAGCATCCTTTGAGGTCTTCCAATTTCTTCTTCCTCCCAGCCAACCTATTCTTTATCTTAATGTCAACATAATTTCAAATCTGATCATTTTGCTCTAGAGCTTAAAACACCACCACCAGGAAAAAAAAAACCAAAAAACAAAAAACAAACCTCCAGCAGTTCCCTAATGTCAATCAAATAAAGTTCAAATTCAACTAGTTGGCACTCAAGAAACTACAATCTGAAGATTGCAGGACGTTTCCAGCCTTTTCTGATATTGCTCACTTCTTTTTAACAGATCATGTCCCAGTCAAAATAACCTACTCTTGGTCTTCCAAACACAGAGCATGCTTTATCGCCTTTGCTGATCATGCTTGGAATGCCTTCCTTATTCTTTTTTTATCCCTGAATTCCTACCCATCCCTTAAAACCCAACTCCAAATGCTACCTTCTTCATGAAACCTTTCCTGAGAAACCTAACTGGTAACAACCTTTTCTAGCCTGGACCTTACATAGCACTTACTTATCATGCAATGTTATACATTATAGCTATTGATGTTTGTCGTCTTATCTCATTACTAATCTGGAAACTCCACATGAACAGTATGTTAAGTAAACTTTGTATCTCCTCTTCTCTGGATATAATGGAAACTTAATGTTTGCTGAGTAGATGGACTAAATGAATTGAAGGTACCACATAATCTGGACCCATATAATTCTCCCACTACTTTCTCATACAAACTATCCACTCCAAGAAAATTTCCATACTAGTTGAATACACATTATCATCTTCACTCCCTACTTCAAATCTTGGCTGATGTTTCAAACTCAGTATACAAAGCTTGTCTCATCCTCCTCCAGAAGAAATTTCCTGACCACTAACAGCCCACACTGATATTCCCAACTTTTATTATATACGCTGGAGATCTTACGATACAGGAAAACAAAAACTGAGAAAATAAAGATAGGGTCTCAGAGCTCTTTGGGGCTTTCAAAAAAATCCTTAAAACATAAGATATTACATTATGAATTTTACAATCCTAACTAAAATGTTTGAAATATTTTTTATGTTCTGCAGTGATTCACTCAAACTGAGTAATAGGGAATTTACAAAGCAAATAACTATAACTATAGTTTACCACCACTTCGATATACTGAGGACAAGCAGCATAAGAGTCTCAAAGGCATAGAGTACATCTAAAGTAAGATAATTTCTTACTTTAAAGTAAGAAAACTATTTCACAGCTAATTTCAAAACTTTCATTGTTTTAATATGCTGATCTAGAGTAAACAGATGATCCTGTTCCTAAATGAGGTATCAAAAACTGGCAAGAATATTAAAAAAAAATCAAGTGATACTTCCATTTCTATTCCAAACACTATTTTAATCAGCAAACTGGAGAATGGAGTATAATAATTTTGCCTGCACTATTACCTTAGTCCCCTAAATGATCTCCTTGCCTCAGATTTCTCCTCTCTCCTATCAATCCTTCACACATCAACTAAATTGATTTTCCAAAAGCACAGGTTTGACCAATGCTTCTTGCTTATTGCCTATCTGACATTTACCATTCTAGGCTAGTACACATTACTTCCTTTCACAGAACCAATCAACAAGCATCGATTAAGCACCCTCTAAATGCCAGGCAAGATGCTGGGCACTGACAA